TTCGTCACCGAATATATTTGATGACGAATTTTGAGTGTCACAGCGTTTGTCACTGTAGCCGCGTCATATTAGGTCTATATGACAATTTTTCAATTTAGTCATCTAATGTTTTGAATTTGTGACAAAAAATAGTATTGTCATTATACCTTTGAGAGATTTGGTGACGATTGATGTGTCACATTTATCATGAATTTTTTGTCACAAAATTATCAATATTGTCACATAAAGATAGCCTTTATATGACAAAAAATAGTATTGTCATTGTTCTTTGTGAGATTTTGTGACAATTGATTTGTCACATTTTTCATGAAACTTTTGTCACAAAATTATCTATATTGTCACTAAAAGTTAGTCTTTATATGACAAAAAATAGTGTTGTCATTGTCCTTTGTGAGATTCAGTGACGATTGATTTGTCACATTTATCATGAAACTTTTGTCACAAAATTATCTATATTGTCACTAAAAGTTAGTCTTTATATGACAAAAAATAGTGTTGTCATGGTCCTTTGTGAGATTCAGTGATGATTGATTTGTCACATTTATCATGAAACTTTTGTCACAAAATTATCTATATTGTCACTAAAAGTTAGCCTTTATCTGACGGACATATATGGTTTCGTCATCTTAAAATTCACATATAATGACAAAAAAGAGTTGTGTTATAGTTACAAAAAATTATTTGTCACCAATGAAATATTTATAATGACGAACGAACATGTCACATAAAATTATGTTTTAATGATGAAATATTCCTTGTCACCAATGAATAAATTAAAGGTGATGATATATTTAGTCATAGAAAGATTGTATTATATGACATTGTGTTTATCGTCGCCAAATGCATATAAAAATGTGACGATATATTTTATCATGAAAAAGTAAAATATATGACGCAAAAGACAATTGTCACTAAATATGTACTTGGAAGAAGTTTAGTGTGACAAAATATTAGTCATAAATAAGCCATTTTATGCTACAATCGTGAATTTATATTTGACCATACGTTGTGTCACGAAAGATTGCTTTTAACCAATTGAAAATTATCACAAAAATTCATAATAATACTAATGACATAATATATTCGGTGAAATAAAAATAAATGAGCATATATAGAAGGAATTATATGAAATATTCATAATTAAAAACAAAAACAATAGTACTTGAAATATTAAGTAAAAAACAATAAATAAACACTTAAGAACCAAATCTCCAAATTCATAGGCTTTTTTTCTAGTTTTGCTGAAAAGTCTTGCAACATCCATTCACAAAAGAGAGCAATCACCTGTAAATATAAAACATTTGAATCAGCACATATATTTACATTTATCAAAGCATATTTTCACGAAAAAAAAAAAAAACGAACATCATTGTTTACATCCAATTTTTTACCTCAAGTATTTCCTTTGGAAGCCATGAATGCCTTAAGCTTTTCAATATCTTCACCTTGTTGGCCCAATAAATTCTTCAAGCCACTAACTTCTTCCTTGAGCTCACTCACTTGTGATTCTGATGCTTTTAGTTTTTCTCGAGTTTCCTGAAGCTCCTTGTCCTTTTGAAGGCTTTGGTTGGCTGGAGCAAAAATGCCTTTGTTCAACTGATTTGTTTGATAACCAAGTCCCTTCAGATAAGTAGATCTTGGACCAAGCACCTCGTGAACTATTTCTTGATTCGTCTTATGAGCTCCTTCTGCTATATACTTTTCTCGCCTCGATACCATCAACTCCTGATGGATTGCAAATATATATCATGCCTATCTAAAAAATAACAATACCAATACCAATATGAAAGTGTGATTTACCCAATTTTCTTTTGCCTCATTATTTGACCAACCATGTTTGTCAGTGGAATGTGTGAGTTTGTAGAACTCAATTATGTCCCCAGCATCTCCATTAACATCTCCATGAACATCTCCATTAGCATCTCCATTAGCAGCATTTTTCTGAGCCTAGTTAAGAATAAAAATAAAAATAAAATGTACAGGACACGAACCTAATAAAATATTATGATTTTTTCTCCATTGCGTAATATGTAAATATTTTAAAACATAATTGCATGTTTGGAACTTACAATTTCAT